TAGTACACAAAGGAAGTCGCTGGACTTGAACATCTCCTCCCAAGACTAAAAGTAGAGAATGAACCAGCTACGCTGATCACTGTTATAGGATTTTAAGCAAATGAGGTTTTCATTTGTAATCATCATCATCATCATATTAAACTCAAATCCTCATCTCTAATTTTAAAAAGTCTGACTCACATGGTTAAATCATTGTGTTCCTGGGACTGGTTAGTCTTACTGCCCAGCATTTATAAGATTGCACTGTTGGAGATACGGCTGGTCCCAAAAGTTTTTCTGAAATAGTTCTGTGATTAAAATAAGAAACAATTGAAAAGAAGTAGCTTTCCTAAACTGGGCTCTACTGACTCACATCTGTAATCCTAGCTATTCAGAAAGCTGAGGTCTGAGGATGGCAGCTGGAAGCCAGACTGAGCAGACAAATTCATGAGACTTTTATCTCCAGTTAACTACAAAAAGGCTGGAAATAGAGCTGTGGCTCATATGATAGAGAACTAGTCTTTATTTAAAAAGCTAAGAGACAGCAACCAGATTCTAGAGTTCAAGTCCCAGTATCAGACCAAAAAAAAAACAGAGAGAAAGAAAGAAATTTTTTCCAAACACCAGTTAAGAGAGAATATGGAATACTAGTCCATGGATTATAGCACTGGCGTCAAAGATATGCAAACTGTGTATTCTTAGAAGAGGGCCAAGTGCTGGCTTAATTCCCTACTACTGCCATCCTAATATTCTTAATAACTGTATGTGAACTTGTGCCATGCAAATGAGTCAATCAGACAACATAACATGTGCATCATCAGAGACACACCCAGTATACCTAGTGCTATAATTTGTCTTCACCCCATTCACCCCATGGTCCATGAGCATAGCATTCTGGTGGACTCATCCCATGTGGGAGGTTACTGAGATTCAAAGCCAATATATGGTAAATATGCTAAATCTGTAACAGAATTAGTAGGGAAGGGAGGATTATCTGATATATCCAACAGGCCATACATTCATTATAAATGAGAATTTGTTTGCCATGTAAATGGAAAGCAATGGAGTTCTAAGAAACATGAACCCACAAGAAACAACATCATTGTCCTTCTTACATTATATCACTTGCATTAGCCAACCATAAGGTAAAGGTAGATTGTTGGTAAAAGGTATGTGCCTTGAGAAGTGAGATCAAAACAACTGGGCCAGGTCCCAATGGCTCACACCTGTAATCTTGGCTACTTAGGAGGTTGAGATCTGAAGGTTATGGTTTGAAGTCAGCCCAGGCAGGAAAGTCCATGAAACTCTTATCTCCAAATAATCCAGAAAATTGGAAGTGGCTCAAAGTGGTAGAGTACTAGCCTTGAATGAAAGAGCTCAGTGACAGCACCCAGGCCCTGAGTTCAAGCCCACTACTGATTGACAAAAAGAAAAGGAAATAAAAAACACCAGCTGGGTCATATTCTTCATATTCTTCTACATGTCCATCGTTATCATTAGAACAAAATATCTATGTATGAGTATATATTTGAATTGTGGAATTTTTATGCTTCTACAATGAGTTAAAGGCTTTTATTTGCATTCAAGACAGGCATTTTGCAAAATATAAAGATAAGTGAGGAAAGTCATGCTAATATTCTACAATTTTATTTTTTCTTTATTTAGGATGACATTATAATTACAAATAAAAATCCTTGACAAGTCGAGACAAACAGTCAGAAAGAAAGAAGAAAAACTTTATAGTTTAATGCCCCTAAGGACATATTCCTTTCTGTTTCTTGAATAAAAGAGTCTGCGTTTTCATTTTGTTCTGAATCCAGAAATGATGTAGCTTGAGCAGCTGTCTGCTCCTTGACCTTGCTAGAGTCATTAGCAAGTGGAGTTTGAGAAGAAGAGGGGGAGGCACTGAGAAACACTTCAAGCCCTCTCACCCCAAGGTCCCACAGACTCTCTTCCTTATTCGTTAATAAAGCTCTGTTCTGCCTTATTTTGAAATTCTATCAACAATATTAGTTCCTATTGGTTTTCTAACCAGAGATGATATTTTTCCATGTATGCCTTGCTTTTTGATAAACTTAAATCATCCTTGCCATTGTCACTTCCTATGCAGCAAGTTAAGAGATTTTATTCAACCCTAAACCATTTCCTCTTCCATTTTTTCCATTTTTAATCTCATAATTTGAAGCCACTAAAAATACTTTCCATGTATCCCACAGAGTTTGATTCTCACCCATTTCCTTTTTTCTCATGCCCTGATTTCTTTCTCATTTATTGCAAAGTGCACAGAATTGTAGTGAGGACCAAGGACTTTGCAAATATTCTGTTGGTTCATATTTCAAGAAGAAAGAATTGAGTGATATTATGGCTCTTTAAAGTTCTCCTAAGAGACCATAAACAACTAACCAAGAGCTCAGTAATATTTTACCTCTGCCTTCACCTCAAAACCTCAGCCTGGGCTTTTAAGTTGCTTTAATCCCTTCTCACACACTATCACATTTACAGCCCTAGCATCATAAAATACGGAGGTCAAAATCCGATTTATTTTTATCTGTTTTCTAAAAGACTTTTAAAAATTCAGGGCAATCATACCTGGCCCCTGCATACATACCTTCACCCAAATTCCTGCCTCACTCAGCTTTTCAGTAATACCAAACTATTCATAACCTTTAAGTAGGTTTTTGTTTTTCAGTCTTCTTTACTTTTTCTCATTTATCTTCTCCAGAGAATCTTTTATTTGGTCTTTTTTACATTTGTAGTTGCCTTTCAAGCATTCAGTTTCAGTTCAGGCATTTCCTTGCCTGGAATCCTGCATGGATATCAAGGTGCATGTAGTAAGGGCCCATACTACTCTGACTATTGCTGTATATCAGTGAGCCATGCTGAACTAATCTGTGGCAGTATGTCACCTTCCCCTAACTCTACTGTGATGTCCTTGAGTCAAGGAATGGAACTTTTTACTTGCTGTGAGTTATATAATCTTGGATACACCATAGTTACTCAGCATATATTTTTTGGTTGAATTAAAATAAACTGAATTATGTATGCTCTGACTTAATATGTGATCTCTCTTTTTGATGCTATGTGGTCCTAACTTACAAAATGAAATGCACACACACACACACACACACACACACAATGTAACCAAGGATAAGATACTTAAGTCAGAGGTAGAGGAAACATCAGAAATGTTTGCTGTATCTGTTTGGGGAATCTTGTCTCAAGAATATTCCAGGAAGACTCAATAAATTTCCCAGGGTTTCAAGAGTTTGGTTACTAGCTCAGATAAAGGTTAGCCATTTAAAGAGCAGTTTGGGGATTCTCTTCAGGAGGTTTAGGAAGGATCTTCATTTCTTAGTACTTTCCAATCCATTTCATTCTTGGGAAAGCTGACTGAGCTGTCATTTCCGTCAATGTCCTGTGTCAATTACAAGATTGACGTCTGTACTTTTAGACTAGAACAAGTACATTGGATTCCAAGAAACATCTTGCAGGTTTTTCACGTTTTTCACTGTCATCTCCTTGTGTAAGAGTCACTTTGATCTTGTGACAAGCATACAGATGCAGACAGGACAGTAGCTCACTGGTGGTGATGAAGGGCAGCCCCAATGGTCAGTATGGAGACTGGTCATTCATCTATGGGCCTAAGACACTCAGCCTGAAGAACAAGGCCTGGACCAGGAACTAGGCACATGGCTTTTCATCAAAGTTCTTCAGGCAGCTCTGTTTTGAGATCCAAGGTTCTCTAACTTTTCTCTGTCTCTCTATTGACTATTTCTACGACTCAAAACAGACAATGTCTATCTAACATTTCAGCTTATTTTGAAAGTAAAAAGTAGTAATCATTTGCCTACTATATATATATATATATATATATATATAATCAAATATATATTTGTCAAATATATGGAGAGATAGTCAATCATGGAGCTTGAACTCAGGGGCTTGGGCTCTGTCCCTGAGCTTTTTCTTTTTAAGGCTAGCACTGTACCAATTTGAGCCATAGCTTTACTTCTGGTTTTCTGGTGGTTAATTGGAGATTAGAGTCTCATGGACTTTCTTATGCAGGCTAGCACTGAACCATGATCCTCAGATCTCAGCCTCTTGAATCGCTAAGATTACAGGCATGAGCCACCAGCACCCAGCTTGTCCGTTATATTGAGAGCTCATTGTTTACATGTCTTGGAGTTAGCAGTTGAGCCAATGAAAGAACTGTGTTAGATGGGAAGAAGTATCTAATAATCAGAGTTACACTAAGCACTGTTTGTTTCCAAGGTGCTGATTCAGACTTTTAAAAAAAAGAAAAACTCAGAGCCTGTCTCTGAGCATTTTTTTGCTTAAGGCTGGTGCTACCACTTGAGCCACAGCTCTACTTCCAGCTTTTTGGTGGTTAATTTTGGTAGTAATTTCCTTCCCCAGGCTAGCTTCAAACAGTGATTTTTTTTAGAACTTGGCCTCCTAAATAGCTAGGCTTATAGGCTGATTCCAGACCTATTCTTAATCAAAGAAATCTTTTAGGATCTAGAATGGTTTTCATCCAAAGATGATATTCTAAAAGCTGAGCAGTTGGGGTGAAGAGACTCCTGTCTGTGCTTGATATACAGATGACCTCTTCTGCCCTGTTTTGGGGTTTAAAGAGGCAAAAGTGTCCCACAATGGATCATGAGACCTATCCTACTGCTGGGCAGATTGTATTGGGCTCCTCCTAAGGATTGCACTCAGTTCCATTTCTTGTGGCCTATAGCATTGTGCCTAAGGTAGCAACTAGGGCAGCAATGATTTCCTGCTTGTAAGATTACCAAACTAGCTGTGCTCTCTGCACTGTCAGTGAGCCAAGATGGTAAAAGAGTCAATTGTTTTTTTTTCTTTTTATTTCTTATTTTTAATGCTCCTTCGAGGCTCCAGACTCACTGGAGACATCCTGACACAGAATGCCTTGTCCAGCACAATGTGATGCCCTTTACCTAGCGAAAGGGTGAGTCTCATAAAGGTGCTGTCTTCCCTCCCAGAACAAACAACGGAAATGCATCAGGAGAGCTCAGCTGCAGACAGAACGCACCTCGGAGCAGGAGCCACCCTGGGATTCCTCAGATGAAAGCCAATTTCAATGAACATTGTGTTTCGAAGCCTGCTTCCTCTTGCTCTGTAAGTGCTGCAGAAGGACCATCCCACTTGCGTCTGCTGACACAAAAGAATGCTGTGGCTGGGAGATCTTATCACATCTTCCTGTGCCACAGCAACAGAGCTCCAGTTGTGTCTTGCAGAATTGCTCATTGTTTCACAGGACGACTGGCTCCTTTGGGTGGGATCTGATGGCATCTCATAGAGTTGAAGGTAGGTGGTACTGGGAAGTCAGCCAGCCACGTGACTCGGTTTACTGGCTTCGCGGAAGTCAGACAGAAGAACACACTTCACCCAGACTTCTGAGTGGCAAATAGATCTCCATTTAAAGTGGTGTGTTTTAAATGTATATTTATTTAAGTATGCATAAACTGTCTATGCAATTATACAAGTAGAAGAAAGTAATAGAAGTGATACCCTGGATGTAGAGTTTCTCTGTTAGCAAAAGCCACTGCTTCTTTTCTTTTAACCTACCACTAATTTGATTCTCAGAAAACTGAGAAGAATCTAAGCATTTGGAAAGTAGAAATCTAATTATTTATTATCCTCTCTGGAGAATTTAGATGCCTAAATATGAATATTTGGGAATGCAAGCTATATATCTCCAAACAGGTGTTTGCTTCATGAAGATGAACTTTAACTTTTAAATTATCACATTTATGTTTAAAAGCATAACTAATATAACATTGGGCCAAATAAATTTGGCCAACTCTAGATGTGTCCCTTTGCCTAAAAAGTCCATGGCCTTTTCCAGTAAGACAATGTAGATAGTTACCTCTTCAGCTACCCAGAGAGTACGTTCTATTTCCTATTTCTCCACTTCATTGCCTTTTGTAGCAATTCTTATGAGAAGTATACAACTATCAGCAAGACATATCAGGGAATAAATCCAAAGAAACATTTATATGGTTATTTTTTTGGTTATGTGGTACTGAGAAATAGAACCCCGGGCCTTGTGCATGCTAGGCAAGCACTCTACCATTAAACCATATTCCCAGCCTGTAAAGAAATATTTTTAATATCTTTTTCCCATGTTTCCATGTAAAACTTTCTAACATCTCATTTCTCTAAAAATACCTATATACAATTATTTGACTCCAAATTAATTTTTCTTCTCTAATTTGATTAAAGTTCCTAGGATGAATATATCACCAAGATAAGATGTCATCTCTGGAATATACTTACTGAAATGATCACATGCTGTAGTTAGTTATGAATTTAATGGTTTTACCTCAGTGAACTATGAGCACTGTAAGAAAGAGCTATGTCATATTCATCTTTGTATTTCCAGTTTCTAGAACAATATCTTGACATACTGATATGTAGTAAAGAAAAAAAGATGGATAGATGGATAATGGATGGGCGAATGGATAGCTGGATAAAAGTCTGTGCTGCAGTGCCTAACTATTCAGAACTTGATCCAGGCTGCTTTTATAGTTTAAGACATGACCATGCTAACCTTTGGGACCTTTGTGAACCCATTCTTAGATGCACAGAATTCAGAAATTTTCAAGGTCACACAATTTGACTATTTCATTCTACTGAAGATATGATTCAGAGAGAATCTGGTTTATCCATATTCACATATCTAATAAATGAAGCAATAGCTCTTGGTTAAAATCCAGATGTATAATTTTCAGTCGGTCAGTGCCTCTACCCAATCCCTCCCTCCCACCCCTGCCTTGTGCAGCTTTCCATCAGTGCCTCTGGGAGGCTCTGAGGCACCCTGTACAGCAATATCACTCCTGTCTCATCTGGACCAAGAGAGAGAAAACTTGACCAGAGCAAAACTCACGAAAGGAACAATTCTGGGGTTATGAAATCACATGTTGGGGTACTTGAAGAAAGGGAAGAACAAAGGACGCCTTATCTTTATTTAGGTTGATGTCCTTCCAGGTCTCTGAAAAGGCTCCATTCAGACTTCAGTGGCTGATGCCCATCTGCTCCCCAGCTTTCGAGGATAACATCTGGAAACAGTTCTGAACAGTATTACTCCACTGGCGAGGACTGCTGTTTAATGCAAGGAGCCTAGTCTTTAGAATCCCTTTCCAGAGAAATGTATTTTCCTCCAGTAAAAAATGAGGCTGATAGAATGATGTGAACTCTAGATCTGTCTGCTATAAGGAAATAGTGACAACCTGTCCCATATCACTGCCTGCATTTTTGTTTCTCTTAGTTACACTCAATCACAATGCATCCTAATGTTTGCAATTGGCCTACAATAAACAGAATGTTGTTCACAAAGAATTTAACATTTTAGAACAAACTATTAGCTAGATGCTAGTAGCTCATGCCTATAATTCTAGCTACTCAGGAAACTGGAATCTAAGGATTGCTATTCAAAGCCAGCCTGGTCAAGAAAGCCTGAGACTCTTCCAATTTGCTAGCAAAAAGCCTGACATGGATCTATGGTTCAGGTGGTAGAGCGTTACCCTTGAGCACAAAAGCTCAGGAACAGTGCCCAGATCCTGAGTTGGAACCCCAACTCCATCACACACAGACAGAAAAAGAAAAACAAATAGAATCAAACAAAGAAAAAATAAAAGTAATGAAAGACAACTGAAGATGGTGGTGTAACACCTATAATCCCAGTACTTGGGAGGTCAAGGCAGGAGGATTGTAAATTCAAGACCAGCCTAGGCTACACAGTGGGACCTGCTCAATTGTCTTCCGCATTTCACCCAACAAACTAAATAAATAAAAAGAGAAAAAAAAAGCAGCTGGCCTATGTTCCTTGAAGACCTTCCTTCTTGAAGAATCCATCAACATTTTTTTTAACCTCTACAACACTGATACCATGGAATATGTATGTTCGTTCTTACCCTGGGGAAAGTACTTAAAGGAACTATTTCCAGAAACATGTTATTTCTCAATAAATAAATGTTTAACAGTATGAAAATGTATTCACAGTTTGAGTACGTTATTTATCAGTTGCTGTTCTGGACAGTCAAAAATTTAGGTTTGAGATTTTTTTTTAATGTTATATCTTCAAGGAATTTGAATTTGCTTTCAAGTTTTAAAAAATGTGCTGCAAGCAAAAGACGGTATGATCTGTTCTTGCATAGTAATGAGGAGAGAGCCCCAAAATGTGCTCTCTGGGCTGCCTACAAAACTGCTTGTGATAGCAAATAACCACTGTGGTTTCATAACTGACCTTCCTGGAAGTGCAGAATTTCCCAATGTGAGGGACCATACTTTTCCTTTTGTTTCTGGTGTCTGTCTTCTCAGAGAGCATTGAGATGGACTTATATCTCTTACTTTAGAGTCCATGAGTTTTACTCAGAGAATGGTAAGATCATGCTTGTGTGCAAAAGAGTGCTTATGTGCCATTGTGTGCCAGCATGACAAGCTTTGCCACAGCTAGATGGGCAGAATTCACAGCAGAAGCAGCCAAGGACAAAGAAAAGTGCGTGAGAGATAAAGGGGAAAATGTTCTTAAACCAACCCTCCCTTCCTCAAACCAATTTCCTCATGAAGATATTTGTCCACCCAACATGGCTGATGTTTCTAAAAAAACTCCCATTGTTGAATAAAACCTGTCCACCTGTCCATTCTTGCCTCAGACACAGAAGTAAGGAAAGACTAAAATGGGGAAAAAAACATTTTCAGGCAAAAATATTTTACCATTTTTAATGATAAAATTGTTCTTCTTAGTTGACTGGTTAAATTGAACGACTTTTTAAAAAATGATAGATTGGTCCAGGTGGCTCACACCTGTAATTCTAGCTATTCAGGAAGGTGATATCTGAGGATGGCAGCCAAGGCAGGAAAGCCTATGAGACTTTTTTTATTTTTTGTCAGTTGTGGGGCCTGAACTCTGGGCCTGGGCGCTGTCCCTCAGCTCTTCAGCTCAAGGCTAGTGCTCTACCACTTCTGGCTTTTTTTTTCTGCTTATGTGGTGCTGAGAAATTGAACCCAGGGCCTCATGCATGCCAGGCAAGCACCCTACCACTGAGCCACCTTCTCAGCCCTTTATGAGACTTTTTTTTTTCTCCAGTTCACCACCAAAAACTTGGAAGTGAAGGTGTGGCTCAGTCTTGAGCGAAAAGGCTAAGGGACAATGCTCAGGCCTTTCTGAGTTCAAGACCCAGATCCTGAGTTCAAAAAGTAGAATGCCCTTTGCTGAAGTAGTAATGGAATGATAACAAACGTAATTGATTGGTTAAGACTGGGGGTTGGGGAGAAGAGTCCTTTGGCTCTTCAGCTATCTGACAATTGATTCTATCTATGCCACAAGAATCCTTACTCTTCTTGTCTGAAGTTTTAAATCTGAAATATACTTGATTGTTAGAGTTTGTGCATGTTGGGGTGACAATGTAAAAGGACCCCGAGTAGCTGAACAATGGAGGGAGGAGCAGAATGGAAAAAGTTATGGAAACTTTCCACTCATGAACAGCACACACCCTCATGCAAACAAAGCTCTTGGGCTACGACCATAATTTTATTTTTTAAAAAAAAGTGATAAAATACTCACTAAGCCCTGGGAGGGGATGAACAATGGATCTTGAAAATAACAATCCTCCCAAACTCAATCCTCCCAAACTCCATCTCACAGATGGAGCAGTTAGTAAGGAAAGATTTTTGCCCTTTCTATTTCCAAGTGTCTATTTCCTTTCTGGAACCCTGAAGGTTTGAGCTGCTGTCAGAACCAAGGCAGCATGTGTCAGCAGCTGGGGTTCTGTATCCAGCTTTGTCCTCACCACATCGTCCTTCTGCCACTGTGAGCGAGTCAGCTCAGACTGACAGTGATTGACTGGCTTGCCACTCAGGACACCCCAGGCAGCTTCCTTCACTAAGGCTACATCTCTATCTCTGTGGTTTGCTTGGTAACAATGACTGTCACAGAATGAGAGAGGGGGTGGGGGAGAGACAGACAGACAGACAGAGACAGAGAAGAGACAAGATAGAGACAGAAAGAGACACACAGAAAGAGAAAGAGACACACAGAGACACACAGAGACAGAGAGAGACAGAGGGAGACCGAAAGAGAGAAACAAATGCATGGCAGAAGCCACTAGTGAGCTGTTGTCCTGGCCATTCATCATCTCACAGTACTCTGTACTTGAGCACCGAATAGCAAAAACCCTGAAAACATGTTAGCTGTGAACACCTTGTTTCTTGCTTCCTTTTCCAATGTTTCTTAGAACCAGTTTGTCCAAAATAAATTTTAAAAAGCACACTTGTAGATTCTGGGGCTCATGATACTGAAACAAAATTGTCCTTTTGCATAAGATTAAAACACTCAAAAAATCCACTAAAAACCACAGCTGACTTTGAAGAATCAGGCTGTTGATAATAGGATCATTGCATTTTTTTTCTTAAAAATATATGTAACTTTTCTTCTCTAATTGTCTAATTCTCTAATTCTTCTAATTGTCAGGCCCAAGAACATCATGCAGTTTATTTGAGGTCGTATGTTACATGGTACTTGGTGTTTTATGACTTTCAAAGAGTTTTCAGATGATCTCATTGGATCCTCAGATAACCCCACCAGGTTAGGTAGAGTTGATGGATCCTTTATCATCATTTTCCATATGAGGAAAGAGAAGTAAATAAATTGTGTAACAAGCCAAGGTCACCCTGGGCTGTACTGGTGGAACCAGATTCCAATAGAAACATTGAACTTCTAGACCAGGTTTTTGCTTTGTTTACTTCTCTCTCTCTCTTTCACTCTCTGTAACAAAGAAGGCAAACAATTCTATGCATTGAATTATATCACTTTTTGTGGGGAAGGCATATTCTGAGATGATCTTAGGTACTCTCAGATCTTTCGGGGGGTTAAAGTCATGGTTCAGTTTGTAGAGTGCTAACCAATGAGCAAAAGTAACCAAACAAACTGAGTTTAAGTCCTAGTCTTGGACCTAGGGGGAAAAAAAAGACTTCAGAACTGCTAATGTGGTATCTCTTTTTAATCAACAAAATAACGCTGATCAGGGATTTTAACTTTAAATTGTCTGTTTTCAATCTCTGATTTAAGTTCCAGTGAAGCAATTCGTATTGAGTAGGAGATTGTAAGACAGGGGCAAGCAACCCTCATTTTCTAGTAAAATCATCTAGGGATCTTTTAAAGCCTACATGTGCCTAGACTAAAACAAGACCAATTATGTGAAAGTACATTACATGCCCGAATGGAGCTACCATCATGTACAATTTAAGAGAAGCCAAAAGGAAAAAATAAAGATAAAAGAGATGAGGTTCAGGAATTGTAGCATTCCTTCCTTCCGGTAATTGGAGTGTGTCTCCAGGCTGTGAGTCACTGACCCATCATCTTCCCACTCATGAGAAATGTGATCCACTGTGGGGGGAGGGCAAATGAGTGGAGAAGAGGAAAGGCAGGCAAATACAGTCATAATATTCAATGCACATATTTGAAAATGGAACCAGGTAACTTGAAGGGATGGGTGGGGATGAAACAGATGTGGGGAGAATGATGGTGACGTCACGGAGGGGAAGAGGCGACATGGATCAAGGTGCATGTGCACGAAACTTTTATTGACTTGAAACTCTTTTGTACAACTCCTTCCAAATCCAAATCTTCTTAAGTCAACACTCTTCAGATTAAGTATCAGCCAGACTATAGCCATAGTTTGGTGTCCCATGACAATTTTTCTCTATTTGCATTTGCCTTTTTCCTACTGCTTTTTTATTTTCTTCTTTACCAAGAATGTCCTACTTCATAGTCATAATAGTAGTAACATGCTCTTCTGCATCTTCCTTCCTTTCTCTTTCATTTTCTCTCCCTCTGACTCTTATCCCTCCTCTCTTCCTCCTTCCCTTTGCTCTCTTTTTTCAATTTTGTCTGTTTGTAGATTTTACACTGTAACGCATGACTAGACTATGAATAAAATTTGAGATGTTACAGTTTTACATCATCTCTGACTTCATCTAAAAATTGTTTTTCTTAAAAATAGTGAAAAATAAAGAAGGGGAATAAAATTTTATACTAACTGGAAAACACATAGTTCAAAATGTGTAGGTTGCCCACTAAATTAGTAGGTTTCTTATTTTAAGCTACAGATTGCACAAGAAAACCCAGGTCCCCTCTCTACAAGTCAAATATTTAGTGATTGTATTTCTTAGTAATCTCATAAACTACACGAATAATCCATTTTTAGTAGAAGATGCCAAAACAGAAAATCAATATTTAAGGAGAAGAGAATCCCAAATCCTAACAATAGGGTCATATCTTACTATTATTAACACTTAATTATTTCTCACATCAATGGCAGTTTTCAATAAGTCAAGTATGAAATTCAATAAAACACAGTTTTACCTGAAAGAAGGGTAAAGGGAACATTCTAGCACACTATTTTTCTATTTGTCCTTGCACAGCTGAGTTCTGGGGGTGAAGGGGAGGTTTAAGCATCAGCTAATGGAGAGTTGCATTTAAATATCATGGACAAGATCTTTCTGGGAATAACATCTTTCTATGTCTAAAAAGCAATGGCTTAAAAAGCTGGGTGCCGGTGGCTCACGCTTGTAATCCTAGCTACTCAGGAGGCTGAGATCTGAGGACTGTGGTTCAAAGCCAGCCCAGGCAGGAAAGTCTGTGAGACTCTTATCTCCTATAAACCACTAGAAAACTGGAAGTGGTGCTGTGGCTCAAGCGGTAGAGCACTGGCCTTGAGCTGAAGAGCGCAGGGATAGCGTCCAAGCCCAGAGTTCAAGCCCCATGACCGACCAAAAAAAAAAAAAAAAGAAAGCAATGGCTCTATAGTCTCTATGTCTATAGCTGGATAATTAGTGATCATCATTAATCAGTTCTACTCCTGTATTTTTATCACCAACAAAATTACAACAACCTATATTTTTAGTGAATTTTAATTGCAAGCTTAATCTAATATTTATTTATCACTTTCAGGAGCAGTTTGCGGACTGATTAGAGAAATCTAAAATGATACTT